GTGTCCAGGGGATCAGGCCCAGCCAGCATGGGTTTGTGAAAGGCAGGTTGTGCCTGACCAACCTCATCTCCTTCTATGACTGGGTGACCAGTCTGGCAGATGAGGGAAGGACTGTTGATGTAGTCTGTCTAGACTTCAGCAAAGCCTTTGACACGGTCTCTCACAGGCTTCTTCTGGGGAAACTGGTTGCCTGTGGCCTGGGTAGGTATACACTTCTTTGGGTAAGGAACTGGCTAGAGGGCCATGCCCAGCGGGTCGTGGTGAACGGAGTGAAGTCCAGCTGGCGACCCGTTTCAAGTGGTGTCCCCAAGGGGTCGGTACTGGGGCCCATCTTGTTTAATATCTTTAATGATGGCCTAGCTGAGGGGATTGAGTGCACTCTCAGTATGTTTGCAGATGACACCAAGTTGGGAGGTGGTGTCAATCTGCCTGACAGTAGGGAGGCCTTTCAGAGGGATTTAGACAGGCTGGACCGCTGGGCTGAAGTGAATGGGATGAGGTTCAACAAGGCCAAGTGCCAGGTCCTGCACTTTGGGCACAACAACCCCATGCAGTGTTACAGGCTTGGGGATGAGTGGCTGGATGAGTGTGAAGAAGAGAGGGACCTGGACGTGTTGGTTGATGCTCGGCTGAACATGAGCCAACAATGTGCCCAGGTGGCCAAGATAGCCAACGGCATCTTGGCCTGCATTAGAAATAGTGTGGCCAGCGGGAACAGGGAGATGATCATCCCCTTCTACTCAGCACTGGTGAGGCCGCACCTCGAGTACTGTGTTCAGTTTTGGGCTCCTCACTACAGGAAAGATGTTGAGGTCCTGGAGCGTGTCTAGAGAAGGGTGACAAAATGGTGAGGGGTCTGGAGCACAAGTCTTATGAGGAGCGGTTGAGGGAGCTGGGATTGTTCAGTCTGGAGAAGAGGAGGCTCAGGGGAGACCTCATTGCACTCTACAACCTCCCTGAAGGGAGGTTGTGGTGAAGAAAGATTTGGCCTCTTCTCCCAGGCAACAAACAGGACACAGGGTAATGGCTGCAAGTTGTATCAAAGGAGGTTTAGATTAGACATAAGGAAGAACTATTTCTCTCAGGGAGTGGTGAGGCACTGGAATGGCTGCCCAGGGAGGTGGTGGAGTCGCCGTCCCTGGCGGAGTTCAAGACGCGTCTGGATGAGGAACTGCGTGATGTGGTTTAGTGCTTGTGGTGGCAGTGGTGATGAGGAGACGGTTGGACCAGATGATCTTATAGGTCTTTTCCAACCTTGTGATTCTGTGATTCTACAATTCTATGATTCTTTCTGCCACTTATTCAAAGCCTGCAATTTCTGAGACTGCTCCGTATCCCTCACCACCCCAGAACAAGGAGAGAGGAAAATACCGCTTGCAAACCCGCTCCTTCAACCATTCACTCTAAACTCCTGTGTTACGGAGTTATCCCTGGATCTAAGACCGTGTGAGGGGGGACACAGGCCCCAGGAGAAAAAAAAAGAAAAAAAAAAGGAGTGACAAAAGAGTGAAGAAATAAAAAGAAAAGGGTACTGGAGTTTTGCTGCACAATCCTGCTGGCCCTGGCCTTGCAGCAAGGCGTGCCGCGGGCCACGTGCTCTGGGAGAGATGGAAGGGCAGAGAGCTAGTAGATGGGTTTAACAAATGGATCACAACAGCAACCATCTGAGGAAGAACGGTAATTTCTGAAATCCTACTGAATCAAAGTGTGCCCAAAGTGTGAGTCTCCACGATAGCACAAGGGAAGCACATGCCCTTCTCTGCTGTGTACTGAGCGGGGCCTGAGGCAGAGCCACTGTGGTCCAGTCCGGATCTCCACCTATCTTCTTCTTTGTGCCACAGCTCCAGGAATTCCGCCCCTCCCTCCCTTCAGAATACTCAAAATGCCCATAAAAGGCAGCAAATGGAACCAGAACACTAACTCTTTAACTCTCACTGGTTCACATGATGTTTTAATGTGGCATACTGACAACACAAAAAATCATGAAATCACAACAGCCAGAACCTCGCCACCCTCTCACTGAAAAGATCCACCCAATCTCTAATCTAAATCTCACCTCTTTTAACTTAAAATATTTGTACCTTGTGCTTTCAATATCTGCCCATTGCTAAATGTTGGTTTCCCTCTTATTTCTGAGCTCTTTGAAAGTACTGGAAGGCTGCAATGTTTTCTCTTCTGAGCCATTTCCTCTCCCATCTCCCTCAGCCTGTCTTTCTAGGAGAGGTCCTCCAGCCCTCTGATTACCCTCGTGGCTTTCCTCTGGACCTTCTCCAAAAGCTTTACGTCATACTTCAGATGGGTCCTTCTGAGGGCTGAGTAGAAAAGGACAATGCCCTCCCCTGCTCTGATGACCTCCTCTCTGTTGATGCAGCCCAGGGCACAGTTGGCCTCCCAGGCTGCAAGCACACACTGCTGGCTCCTGCTAAGGTTTTCATCTACCAGGACTTTTAAGTCCTTCCCCAGTTCTCTCCAGGACTTCTTCCCTCATACCTGGGATTGTCCTGACACAAGTGCAAAAAACTGGCATTTGATCTTGTTGAACCTCATGGTGTTTCTTTGGGCCCACTTTTCAAGCCTGTCCAGTCCCTCTGGATGGCAGCCCTTCGTTCTGTCGTGCCAACTGCACCATGCAGCTTGGTGTCATGAGGGAGCGCTCTATCTCGTCATCCATGCCACTGATAGATGTTGAAGAGCTCTGGTCCCAAGGCTGACCCCTGTGGACAGAACTTGTGATCGGCCTCCACCTGGTGGAGCTCATTTCCCAGACAGCCATTTACCACAGTCCTTTGGCTGCGACCTTCCAACCAATTTCTTCTCCAATGAGCAGTCTGCCCTTCAAATCCATCTCACGTATCTCTCCACAGAGATCAGGATGTGATGTGGGACCATGACAAAGGACTTCCAAAAGTCCAGGTAGATTTTTGTACCAGTCTGTGTAACCGATGTATTGAAAAAGCACCCACATTATCATTCTGACCATAAAAAACTACAACATTTAATGAAGTATTGGGAAAATACTACTTTCTCATTTAGATCCTTAAAATATTGAGCTAAACAAAGCATAGTAAATCTGAGGACAAAGGTCGCATTGTAGTAAAACATCTTTTTCCAGCACACACAAAGAAATTGTTTATTAGATTGTTGCTTTGCTTACAACTGGCACCTGGTGGATAAGTGTGCTTCTGTAACTTAGCAACCTTCACTTTGGGATCCAGAAAGCTGTTATTGGAATGGTGTGGAGTTCAGCACATGACCAAAGCATTCAGAAGTGAATCTTTACCAGAGCTGCAGGGACACAACAGACTGGGTCTGACAGAAAGAATATGAATAACTAATTGGTACACGGAGTTAACTTAGGAAGTTATTCTTAAATATTAGGGGGAAAAAAAAAAAGAAAAAAGTTCAAGATGTGAGAGGACAAAACTGAAATCCAAATATAGCATATCACTTTAATTAGAGTAAATTAGATAAGGGATAAGAGGGTTGTGAAATCCTTGCTAACAGTGAGCTGATTGCTGTGTTGGAAATATCTGAATTATATAAATTAGTCACATGTGTTGTGGGTTAGGTGTAGTTTCATGTAATATTTTAAGGTGAGTGGGACACTGCGTTCAATAACTGCTCCAAAGTCTGAAGGAAAAACAAAAACAAACAAAAACAAAAACATAAACAAAACAAAAAACCAAAAACCCTGCATCTGATATGTAGCCATTAACACACACAATTTGTTGTCACTGGGTTTTAAGCAAGAGAAGAATAAAGCATCTTTTTGCCTCGACTCGGGAATTGTTTAATTGTGTTTTCTCCCCCATCCTGCTAGGAGGGGCAGTGACAGAGCAGCACAGGCAGCACCTGGGAGCCAGGCAAGGTGAGCACAGCACAGCTGGGCGCTGAGTTCCAGGTGATTCTGGGGTCCCAGCCCTGCAGCACGAGGCTCCGTGTGCCTTCCCTTCTGCAGGACAGCCCGGCTCTACCACCCCACAGGCAGCCCCTGGCAGCTCAGTGCAGGCACTGTGTGGGGCAGCATGCGTGCAGTGGTACAGAGATGTGCCCCAGCACAGCCCCTGACACTGCATGTCCTCCTTCTAACAGCACCTACTTCGTCCCCTTTATTTCATCTTCCTCTTCACCATGGTGCCTTTATGGCTCACCTTTTAGCTCTTCCCCCAATTTGGAAAACTTCCATTGCTTGTTTTGCCACAATCATCCACTTTCTATCTTGGTGCACTGTAACTCCAAAAGTTTATACCAAACTCAAGAACAAGTCCTTGCACCTGGTGGAGGCAAAAATAAGTGATTTCAGTGCTTCTGTGGAACAGGCTCATTGATAAAAACAGGGCTGTTCACATACCAAGCAAAGCTAAACTGGGAAGATTTAGGATGACCACACTCTGATGCCTTTTGATAATATAATATATTGGTCCTTATGCTAATACATTGATCCCTTCTGCAAATCCAGCCTATTTCAGCTCCATGGAGCCTGCTGGCACCTCATCTGCCTGTAGATACAGAGATGGAACACAAGCTGTGAGAGACAGCACTGACCTGGAGTTTATATGGGCTGCAGGAGAAAGAGAGCAGTGAGATGTCTCAGCGGAGCTGCTGGAATCCAAACACGTGTTTAGGAACATGGTAACCACTAATGATAATTACACACACACGTATATATATGAACAGCTAAGAAAATTGCATCTATTAATATATATATATAATAATTACAAGCAGTAAAAAGCAGAATACAGGCCTGTAATGGAACAGACTGTGAGATATTTATAGAGACAGATGAGAAGTTTATTTCTGATAAAATGTGACCAGGGCATCATTTTCCTTACTGCATGCCTGAGCTCCTGGTTCCTCATGCTGTAGATGAGGGGGTTCAGTGTTGGAGGCACCACCGAGTACAGAAATGACACCACCAGGTCCAGGGCCCAGGAGGAGATGGAGGGTGGTTTCAAATAGGCAATCACGGCAGTGCTGAGAAACAGGGAAAACACAGCCAGGTGAGGGAGGCACGTGGAGAAGGCTTTGTGCCGTCCCTGCTCAGAGGGCATCCTCAGCACGGCCCTGAAGATCTGCACATAGGACAGCACGATGAATACAAAGCACCCAAATAAGACAAGAACACCAGCCATGATAAGTCCAAATTCCCTAAGGTAGAATTCTGAGCAAGTGAGCTTGAGGATCTGGGGGATTTCACAGAAGAACTGATCCACAGCATTGCCATGGCAGAGAGGCAGTGAAAATGTACTGACAGTGTGCAGCAGGGAATAGAGAAGCCCAGTGCCCCAGGCAGCTGCTGCCATGCTGGCACAAGCTCTGCTGTCCATCAAGGTCCCGTAGTGCAGGGGCTTGCAGATGGCAACATAGCGGTCATAGGACATGATGGTGAGGATGGAATACTCTGCTGAGATGAAAAAGAGAAAAAAAAAGATCTGTGCAACACATCCAGCATAGGAGATGTGCCTGGTGTCCCAGAGGGCATTGGCCATGGCTTTGGGGAGAGTGGTGGAGATGCAGCCCAGGTCGAGGAGGGCGAGGTTGAGCAGGAAGAAGTACATGGGGGTGTGCAGGCGGTGGTGGCAGGCTACGGCTGTGCTGATGAGGCCGTTGCCCAGGAGGGCAGCCAGGTAGATGCCCAGCAAGAGCCAGAAGTGCAGGAGCTGCAGCTGCCGCGTGTCTGCCAACACCAGGAGGAGGAACTCGCTGATGGAGCTGCTGTTGGGCATCTGCAGTTCCTGCTGGGCCTGGAGTCCTGTTCAGAGTGCAGAAGATAATGACAAGTCAAGGCCATTCTCAGAGACACTCCTCCCAACATATGATAAATGCTTTCCTTCCTCTTAGGAAAATATCCATGTGACTTCATAGTTTGTGTTTAATTTCATGGGATTCATTATTCTATAAGTAGAAGCTTATGTAGCTCTTATTTTGTCTCATTTCCCATTTACTCAGTACCAAGATTCTTTTATATTTTGTTCTTAATATCAGTTTTCATATGTGATATCATTTCCTAATAATTACCAATCTTCCTGCATATTTTGCTCTTCAGAGCTGTTTTCATATCTTGTATTTTTACCTTCTCTGCACTCAGAACAGTGATCCCAACCTCTGTGTACTTAAATTTAAGTTAGAGAAAGTTGTATCTTTGCAGGATAAGTGTGTGTTCCTGCCTGCAGAAAAGGACAATAATTTCAGTTGGAGTTGTCCTTTGGGAGAGCAGAGGCTGAAAGCACTTAAGGAGACTGCACACTTAACAGCAGAATGAAGAGTACACAATTGGGGATTCTCATAGATATTTCATATTTCCCAGCTCCTGTTACGTTTCAGCCTCCAACTCTTTCCCCAGTGATAAGAAGAGGAAATGAACAATTCCTGCCTTATCTCTCCTCTTGCTAAGCAAGTTGTAAACACCCTATGGTACAGTGTATCTGTGATCCCCCTGCCCCAGGCAGCAGCTGTGGCAGCCGAAGGCCCCTGCCCTGCCCTGCCCTGCCCTGCCCTGCCCTGCCCTGCCCTGCTGGGGGGCTCCTTCCCCCCACACATCTCCCCGCAGCGCCCTGGGCAGCTCCCCAGGCAGGCTGAGTGCTGAGCCTGGCAGGCAGCACAGTCCCTGCCCCGGCACACAGCCCCTGGGGCACAGCAGGACCTGCTCTGCAGGACAGCCCTGGCACCCGGCTGCAGCCATGGCTGCACAGCCTGCAGACGTCCTGGGACATGCAGCCCTCAGGGCTGTGCTCTGATACTTCAGCACAGAAGCCCTCAGCTGCAGCAGGTCTTTTTCATGATAAAGAAACAAAGTATATGCATCCCATTTTGCAGTGAGATATCTCAAATTTAGTGGTTCCTCCAGTAAAAGCCTGCAGTGAGAAACTTACCTTGTCAAGGGCTTTGAACAATGCTCCCTGCATGAGCTCACAGCCTGCTAGCATGCAATGCAGCCTTTAAACTCTCTTTCTTCTTCTCTTTGTCTCCTGTAGTTCATGCCCACAGCCAGTCTGCGTGGTGCACAGGAGCTGCTCCTTTGCACAGCCCTCTCTCTGCTGCGCTGCTTACTTGTAGAAGCTCCTGTGTCCCAGGAGCCCAGCCCAGTTCAGCAGCAAATGATCTGAATTCCTACTCTCCCTGGATATACCTATGGCTATCCTGAACTGACAGCTCCTGCAAGGCAGCAGGGTCATCACTGCAGAACGTACTGCATCTCATGAAATTAAACACAAACTATGGAGTCACATGGACATTTACCTAAGAGGAAGGAAAGCATTTATCCTATGTTGGGAGGAGTGTCCCTGAGAATGGCCTTGACTTGTCATTATCTTCTGCACTCTGCACAGGACTCCATGCCCAAGAACTGCAGATGCCCAACAGCAGCTCCATCAGCGAGTTCCTCCTCCTGGTGTTGGCAGACACGCGGCAGCTGCAGCTCCTGCACTTCTGGCTCTTGCTGGGCATCTACCTGGCTGCCCTCCTGGGCAACGGCCTCATCAGCACAGCCGTAGCCTGCCACCACCGCCTGCACACCCCCATGTACTTCTTCCTGCTCAACCTCGCCCTCCTCGACCTGGGCTGCATCTCCACCACTCTCCCCAAAGCCATGGCCAATGCCCTCTGGGACACCAGGCACATCTTCTACACTGGATGTGTTGCACAAGGCTTTTTCTTTCTCTTTTTCATATCAGCAGAGTATTCCATCCTCATCATCATGTGCTATGACCGCTACGTTGCCATCTGCAAGCCCCTGCACTACGGGACCTTGATGGACAGCAGAGCTTGTGCCACCATGGCAGCAGCTGCCTGGGGCACTGGGTTTCTTTATGCTCTGCTGCACACTGCCACTGCATTTTCAATACCATTCTGCCAAGGCAATGTTGTGGACCAGTTCTTCTGTGAAATCGCCCATATCCTCAAGCTCTCCTGCTCAGAATCAGACTACCTGAGGGAAACTGTGAATATCTATTTTAGTCTTTGTTTAATCTTTGGGTGCTTTGTATTCATTGTTGTGTCCTATGTTCAGATCTTCAGGGCCGTGCTGAGGATGCCCTCTGAGCAGGGACAGCACAAAGCCTTCTCCACGTGCCTCCCTCACCTGGCTGCTGTCTCCCTCTTTGTCAGTACTGCCATGGTTGCCTATCTGAAGCCCCCCTCAGTCTCTTCCCCTTTCCTGGACCTGGTGGTGTCATTTCTGTACTCGGTGGTGCCTCCAGCAGTGAACCCCTTCTTCTATGGCATGAGGAACCAGGAGATCAAGACTGCAGTGAGCAATACATACTTCAGCATCCGCAAGATGCATGCCAGCCTAAGATGAGTCTCACAGTAATTCAGAAATTGATAGAACAATCTCTTGTTTCTATTTTTCTTATTATTATTATTTTCACAGACATGACTTCAATTTAAATCCGTTATTCTTGGCATGCTTCATTTTTGTAGTGTTTTGACACTCTCATCTCATGTACCCATAGAACAAGGAGCTCTGTTGATAAGTACAATAAGGAAGCCAGCAGAAATTCAGTTGTCTGTGCTCCCATGTTTTACCACCTCTGAAACTGGAGGAGCGACTCATGTAGGCAGGAGTGATGCAGGGTCCAGGAGCCCAGCTGCAACACAGAGCAGCAGCCTCACTGTCATTGGGCTGCCCCTTAATGCCCAGTGGTTCCATCCTCTCTTTTGTGTTTGAGTCATGGCCGCAGCTTCCCAGCTCCAATGGCCACAGAGAGCAGCACGATGTGGTCTTTGCAGTGCTGCTCTCTTCTCCCTTCCATCCCTCTTCCCCTTCCTCTCTACATCCTTGTGGACACACGTGGACCAGGAAGGTGGCTCTGGACTTTTGCCACCCTCAGCCTCTCACACCAGCCATTTCCAGCACTGACTGCATGTTTATGGCAGAGCTTTTTCCTGAAGCTGTCTCCATGCTCCTGGTGGTAAAGCAGGGCTGTCTGCAGACCCCTGTGTAGGACACGGCTGGAGCAGCACTGGGTCTGAAAAGCAGGATTGCTGAGAAGTGTGGTGCACTGAGGGCTGCCATGGGCACTTGTGCTGGGGAACCCACCCCGAACACACCTGTCCTGTGCAGCGCAGGCATGGCAGAGCTGTGGCTGGGACAGTGCACTGATAGGCCACAGATGGGAAACCCAGCACGGCCATCAGGAGGTGGAACCAGGTGGTCCTGGCACACAGGGAGCCGGGCAGGAGGCAGCGGTGTGCCCTGGCAGAGCAGTCAGGGAAGGCTGAGGGCACATCACTGCATCCTGTGAGAGCCTGCATGGAGATCTTAGAGAATACAGAGCCACACTCCGTGCTGTTGTGCACAGTGGGGGGATGAAAGTGATGGGTGAATCTGGAGGCACTCTGCCTGAAGGTAAGGAAAAGATTTTCCACTCAATTCAAGGCTCCTCTTGAGCAAGGTGGCTACTGTCATGTCCCTACTAGGATGAGTGCTTATGGGATGCGTTTCCTGTTCCAAATTGCCGCCTGCTGGACAAGCAGCCTCCTGAGACAAACAAGTCCACACCATCAGCATCACAACTTGTGCCTTCCAAGCTCTGCTTGCTAAGAAACATAGAATCACAAAGGTTGGAACCTTTACTGTCATCTCCATCACTTTCACTCCGCGGACTGTCAGAGCTCAGGCGGGATATGTTGCTTTCAAGCCCTGTAGTGTTCATACATAAAGCCTGAAACAAAGTGTGCTGAAATCAGACCCTACTGTGCAGAAAAAATAATAATAATAATAAATAAAGCATGAAGAAAAAGATGATGTAAAGCAGTAGCTTTACAGCTGAGAAGTCTGTGCTGGTTTAATAAGTGAAAGCCTCCACACAGCTCAGAAAAGGATCTACTACTGCCTAGATTCTTTTGCTGTTTTGTGCTGTCACTGGCAGAGGTCTTGCAAAGTCAGTCTGCATAGGACTTCCCTATCTTGATGCTGGACAGAGGCTTTTATTCCAGAGTTATCTGCATTGGGCATCGCAGAAGAAAGGCAGTTCCTGCAGCCAGCAATTGTATGTTTCTTCATATAAGGTCACAACTCATGGTTCTGTTCTGTGCTCGGAGTGATTTGTCTTCACTCTTGAATGCTGTGATTTAATTTTCCTTCAGTGAGTATGAGTCACAAATGAATGCTTATTCCTTTTTGCCTCTACAGCTCAATAAATCTTACTTTTCCCTTACTCTGCAGATCGACCTGATGAGTCTTTTGGCTTTATTTGCTGCATTTTCCTTAGCTAGACAAGAACATTATGGTCTAGTGGGATGAGCTGATGGGTTCCATCCCAGCCTCTTGAAGCGACCTGCTCTTGAGTCTTACAGCCTGTGTTTGCAAGAGATGATTCAAGGTTTTCAACGCTCTCACATGAGCTTCTTACTGCACAATCAAATATAGGCAAGGCCACACAGGTGGAACCAAGTGGGCACCACCTGCAGGCTGCCCTGCTCCACGGAGCTGCTGAGGCTGTCCCGGGGCCAAGGAATCTGAGCATCCCAGCACAGCCATGAAGGCCACATCAGACACGCAGCACAGTAAGGCACTACTCTGACTTCTCTGTGTGCAGTGCTATTTCTGGTCAAGGTCACTGCTCAGGATGTTCTTGAACAAGGCTTCAATTATGCAGGCTTTGACTGCCCCCACAAATAGGGCATATATAACTTCTTAGTGACTCCAATTCCAGTGAGTCCAACTAAAAACAGTCTTACTAACATCCAATCTAAATCTCCCACTTTTAGTTTGAAGCAATTCCCCTTC